TAAATAAGATATTTCAAATTTGTGATATTTTATTTTAATGTTTTTGTATACAATATGATATAAAATATTCTACACAGTTTATTTCTTCGTTTTTTATAAATCTGATTGAATCAGCTGAATAATTTATATTTTTATTAACGTAATAATTTTGATTACAGGCTCTAAGCAGAGCGGAAATGGCATCTGCTTCTGGAGGCGGTGGTGGCGGTGGCGGCGGCAGCCGTGGTGGTCAAGGTGTAGGCAGAGGACCCCGTGGTGGTAACCAAGGCGGTGGTAGCTGGGGAGGACGCGGCAGCGGTGGCGGTGGTGGTGACTGGAACAATGGTAGTAATCAGGGTGGATATGGTGGAGGTAATCAAGGAGGTTGGGGGGGTAATGGACCTTGGGAGAATCAGAATCAAGGTAAAGGTTTGCTGGAAGATATTTGTCTTCTTATTCCTTTTAGAATTGAATTGACCCTTGCATTAATAATGTATTTAATAATATCATTTGAGAATTGGCTTCAATGTGTAAAGAAAAAGGGTATAAATATGGATTTAAAGAGTTTATTTGATCTTTTTTTTTCTCAGTACGTAATATGCTTTAAATTATATATTGATAATTCTTTAAGATGCCAGGGTCAAGTAATTGCAAAGTACAGAGACTTTGTATTCTAAAGAATAACGTACAACATGATGAAAAGTTATTGAAATAAGCGTAGAATAAACTTGAAGAAACAAAGGTTCATAAAACATGAACAAAAATTAATATAATAATAAAATTATTTTTATATCAATGTTATACAATATTACAAAGTATTTGATAATTGAAATGTTATTATACTAACAATAAAAAAAATAAACATTGTCTCTGCCGCAGAATGGAATAGCATAATAGTGTTTCATTATTTCGAATAATGGAGATGTTAAAAAAAAAGATTACTGTATTTTAATTACTGTATTTTAAAGGGGGTGGATGGAACCAAGGTGGACAGGGTGGCTACAACAGCGGCGGTAATTGGAGCAATGACAACTTCGGTGGTGGTTATCAACAGGGTTATGGCGGAGGTCCAGTGCGCAATAATTTCAATTCGGGTGGTAGACCGGCACCATATGGCATTAATTCCGGTCCTAGTGGACGTCAATCCGGAGACTCCAGATGGTTACCGCCCTTCAGCGGACAAGGTTCCTTCTTGAAATTCAACGATAATTATTTTTTCTTCTGGTTTTTTCCCTGTTAAACTGTTTTCTACATAATTATTAAAATTTAAAAAATATCAAAACCTTTTGACTTTCATTCTTTTCGTTATTGAATGTGAGTCTATTTTTATGTACTTTATCATAGTTATTGCGTTATTTCATCA